CACACACACACACACACACACACACACACAATAAAAAATGTTAAAAAAAATTAAATTAAAAAAAAAAGTTTTTGCAGGCATTGCATTTACTCTTAGATTTATCTTTTAGACCCTAGGCTTAGGGGTAGGTGCTGAGTTTCCTCACATCTCTCAGCATTTTATTGCTGATCTTATTCCTTGCCCAACTATATTAGTGTTTGATTTTCTTGAGATTATTACTGCTTTCTTGGTTTTCATTTATATTTTTATTGATGGCCTGTCTTCTCTGGGACTATTTACTTCCACATAGAAAGATAATGGCTTATCCCCACCCCCCACCTCCAGGCACCAAGAGCTGGCCATTACACCAGGCATGGTGGCACATGCTTGCAATTCCAGCGCTGGGAAGGCTGAAACAGGAAGATCACTATGAGTCCAAACTGCATAGTGAGACCCTGTACCACATACATAAAACTTAAAAAAAAAAAAAAAAAAAATCCTGGCGTCTCAGCAGTGCTGTCTTGTATTGCGGCCCCTGCAGTGAAAGGACCTCTGAGCCAGGGAGGAACGAGAGCCTTGTGTGTAGGACAGGAGGATTAAAGCAAGTACTTGAAAGATGAGGATTTCCTTAGTCTTGATGTTTCTCTCAGAAGTTTTACTTATACTGGAGTAGCCTCATTGATGGATTTTTATCTTTTTTTCTCTAGAAAAGCATTCATGTTTCGTGTCCAAAGGAAAACACATCTTCTAAGTTTTTGGCACCATATACTATTTTTTCCAGGATTCATACAAAGAGTGTAAGTATGTTGATAAAGAAAAGATATAATGGTGTGCTTTTTACCCCCATTTTGTCTGCTTATCTAGTGTCATGGACATTTTTTTTTTAATTTTTATTTTAGGGAAGGGCCTACAGGGTGTTCAGGGTCTCACTACTAGGTCATATTCCTAGTGATCTGCCTGTTTACAACCTCCCAAGAGCTGGGTTTACAGGCATGCACCACCACGCCAAGTCTCAATTACTGTCTCAGCGTGCCCCAGGGGCAGGCCCAGGGATCGAACCACTGGTCCCTGTGCCTGCTTGCAGGCACTTTAAATTGCTAAGCGATTTGGCAGCCCACCCTCCTTTTTTTTGGTAGTACCGGGGATTGAACTCAGGACCTTGAGCTTGCCAGGCAAGCACTTATTCCACTGAGCTATCTCCCCAGCCCCGACATATTTATAATTAATGTGTCTTTCACTTACTTCATGTATAAGATGACAGAATTGATGAATTTTTTTTTTTTTTTTTTTTGGCGGTACTGGGGATTGAACTCAGGGCTTTGCGCTTGCCAGGCAGGCACTTATTCTACTGAGCTATCTGCCTGGCCCCTTGATGAATTATAATACATGTGGCAAAACTTGTACTCAAGTCCACAGAGAGTATGCGTACAAAGGTACTCAGTATTTTTCTTTTGTGTGTGTGTGGTACTGGGAATTGAACTCAGGACCCACTTGCCAGGCAGGTGTGCCACTGTGCTATATTCCTGGCCCAAAGGTACTTATAATCTTTTATTTTTTTTCAGTACTGGGGATTGAACTCAGGACCCTGGGCCTGCCAGGCAAGCGCTTATTCTACTGAGCTATCTCCCCTGGCCCATAATGCTCTTTTATATCTTGTTTTGTTTTTTACCCTGAGATAGTTTCTTGCTATGCAATTTAGGCTGGCCTTGAACTCACTATGTAATCCAGACTGGCCTGAAACTCTCAGGAGTTCTCCAGCCTCAGCCTCCCGTATATTAAGATTACAAGTATGGGCTGCCATGCTAAGTTTATATATTGTTCTTTACTTACTTATATAAACATTATTCTATATTGTCTGTTAAGAGCTGCACAGCTATATAACTTTTCTATGATTTATTTTCCAATCTCATATTAGTGGACATACAGGTTCTTCCAACTTCATCATTTTGTGTTTTTATTGGGATTGAACCCTGGCTGTTGTGCTCTGCCTAAGCAGGTGGTTTAGCCTGCTGAGCTATCTGGTTGGCCCCTCCCCTTTTTGTAATTTAAAACAATTATTTATTTATTTGGTACAGGGTCTTACTATGCAGCTTGGACTCGTAGTGATCCTTCTGTCTCAGCCTTTCCAGCATTGGGATTACAGGCATGTGCCACCACACCCAGTTTTGGTAGCCAGCAGGGCATGCAATACCAGGGATCAAACCTGGGTCCTTGTACTTGCCAGGCAGGCGCTTAGACTGCTGATCTATTTCCCCAGCCGTAAAGGTTATCTTTGTGTTATCATTTCCTAAAATGTAGGAGAAATATGCTAAAAGATAAAATGGCAAGTGATAGAAACTGGAAATTGATTATGGGATGGGGGAGACCTTTTAGCTGAAGCCGGCGTCTGCATATGATTACAGGAATATCTTTTTGTTTGGAAGAGGTCATATCAAATGTAAGTTCTTTGTGTTGGGAACGTAGTATAAAGAAGCTTTGAAGGGACGTGAAACAAAGGTGACTTAAATGTATTTCAAGGGAGCAAGCACATTTCATTCTTGTACCGTTGTTTTGTTTTTGAACAGATAACATGCCTGGACATTTCCAGTGGAGGAGGACTTGGTGTGTCTTCTAGTTCTGATGGGAGCATGAAAATCTGGCAGGCTTCCAATGGAGAGCTCAGAGTAAAGGATTTGAATATCATTTGGAGGGTAACTGGACTGAGTGACAGGGAAAAGAATGACCCATTGTAAAGATACAAGACCACTCCACTGCAGTTGATCTTTGTTTTCCCATTTTTTCATCAGAAAACTATTCTTTGTGGGGGGTGGGGAGGTTGTGTGTGGAACCGGGGATTGAACTCAGGCCCTTGCACTTGCCAGGCAAGCACTTACTCTACTGAGCTATCTCCCCAGCCTGAGCCTCTTTGTTTTTGTCTTGTTTGTTTGTTGTTGTTTTTCTTTGGGTACCAGGGATCAAACTCAGGACCTTATGCTTGCCAGGGAAGGACTTACTCCACTGAGCTATCTCCCCAGCCAGAGAATTATTCTTAAAATTAGTAATTTGTCAGACAGAATGGGGTTACAACAGAATGGGGTTGAGCCAGACTGTAGTCTGGATGTCTTAAGTGGGTGAGCCCTTGGTTTAAACTACATTTTCTGGTTTCTAACGCAGCATAGCTGGGCTGTTAAGACTATATGGCTAAGCCTTGACCTTTTCAGAGGATTTTTAGGAAGAGATGAGTAAGAGAGTCACCATACCTCTTCAGTTCCTAATATTTGGAACTAGACTTGGGGATAATTGTGAGAGCCATGGAGTTCAGTTCTATGACATCTATGTTTTAATCTCAAGAAAGGAAGCCAGCAACTCTTTGAACATTCCTTGGCAGGCAAATGAACTAAAAAGATCCTTTAGACAGCTTTTTTTTTAAAAAAAAAATTAGCATAAAGGGATAGTTTGTAGGTATTTCATTTAAGGGACCAGAGTTATGGGAAACAAGAGAACATCAAGAGATGGGCAAGAGAACTAGCATGGCATTTTCTTTTGTTTTCCAGAGAGTGTTGGAAGGACATGTATTTGATGTGAATTGTTGTAGGTTTTTCCCATCAGGCCTTGTGGTTCTGAGTGGGGGAATGGATGCTCAGCTGAAGATTTGGTCAGCAGAAGATGCTACCTGTGTGGCGACCTTCAAAGGGCACAAAGGAGGTAGGAAAAGTTTTTCTAACGATCTCCATAACAAATCACTGCAATGACTGAAACAGGAGCTTGGCATAGTGATACATGCCTATAATCCCAGCAGTTGCCTAGGGATTATAGGCATGTATCACTAGTTTTGATGTAGCCTGGGGCTACATAGTTCAGAAACAACAAGGAGTACATTAGTGAGGCATTGTCTCAAAAAAACCAAAATAAAAAGATAACAACAGAAGCCACTTATTTGTAGACGTGCAAATAAGGCACCTACCAGGCTATTTGGATGAGCTGTTTTCCCCAGAACTAGAAATTCCTTTTTTTTTTTTTTAATTCGTGTGTGTGTGTGTATGTGTGTGTGTGTGTGTGGCCAGCTCAGCCCACCAGGGGGTGGGGCTGGCTGGCATGTGGTGCTGGGGAATTGAACCGTGGTCCCTGTGCTTTGCTGAGCTTGTTCTAAGTAGGTGCTTTAGACCACTGAGCCATCTCACCAGCCCCTAGAAATTCCTTTGCTAGTTAAGTCTTATTGCTATCTAGAGCTGTCCTACACAGATGATTTTTTTCCTTAATTGATAAGGAGAAAAGGAAAGTCCTTACCAGGGGATCATCTGCTTGTGTGTTAAGGAGAAAAGAGAGTGGGACAGAGAAAAATCTGCATTTTCTTATTATTAGTCCTTTGGTTGTGGCAACAGTAAAACCCGGGTGGTGAAAGGCTTCATTACTGGATATCAAATATAGTGTTTGATACTGATGGGTACCATCAGTTAAAATTATAGTTCATATTTTAACAATGGATTATCCATAGAAGTAGATAATATCAAGTTGTAGAAACAGATTGAGAATATCTTCCCACTAACTGATTAGTTGATTTGCTGAAAAAGACATTTTTTTTTTCCAGAACCAGGGATTGAACTCAGACCCTTCCGCTTGCTAGGGAAGCAGTTATTCCACTGAGCCATCTCCCCAGCCCCTGAAAAAGACATAATTTAGAGATGTTTTATCTTTAATTAGAATGTTAAGAAGGTAACAAAACCATACGCAGTGGCACAGATCTGTAATTCCAGCATGCTGGAAAGTTCTGCCAGGCTGATTGAAAGTGTGAGCCTATCTTAGGCAGTTTAGTAAGTGCCAGTCTGGGGTTGTAGTTCAGTACCAACTCTCTGGGTTTAGTCACCACTGCTGTAAAAAAAAGGAAAAGAAGAAGAAAAAAGGAAGAAGAGGAGAAGGAAAAGGAAAGGAGGACAAGAAAGATTACAAGATTACAAGTTTGGAGATTTCCATATGTAATTATATTAATCCAAATTATATTAAAAGTATAATAACATTCTCAAATAATTCCTTATCTTACGTTCCTCCATCAGAACCATAGCAGCATTTTCTTTTTTTTTTTTTTATGGCAAAGAACATTACTTTTATTTGCATTTATTTTACATTTAATTTATTCCTGTGCCCTAAGTTTTTGTTTCTTCTGGGATATCTTTTTCTTCTGTGTAACTTCCTCCTCTGGTTTAGAAACAATTTGTTCCTTTTCAGTAAGGACTTCTCAGGGCCAGCCAAATAGCTCAGTGGATTAAAGTGCCCGCAAGCAGGCATGGGCCGGGAGCTTGATCCCTGGGCCTGCTGTGCCAGCCCCCAGGGTGCCCTGAGACGGCAGTTGAGACTGGGTATGGTGGTGTGCACCTATAATCCCAGCTCTTGGGAGGCTATAAACAGGCGGATCACTATAAGTCTGATCTAGTAGTGAGACCCTGAACACCCTGTACACTCTTACGTAAAAATACAAAAAAAAAAAATCTTCTCACTATGGCAGGAGGAGATCATGGATGGGTTAATCGGGCCATGGACTCTGTAAGTACAGTGGTGCATGTTGGATGCTTTGTTCACCTGGATATGTTCGATAACCAGAGAATTACATCTAAACCCTGAAGTTCAGCAATTCAAAAATGTAGCAACTCTGCATTTTTAAGCAAGTGCAACAAAAGTTAAGCACTCTTTTTGGGCCACCAACCCTGCATCCAGCCGCACTGCTTGGTCTGGTCACTTTCCAACTCCACTGTAACACCAGAATGGCACACATTGCTTCTTTAATGTGACATCCTTCAGATATTTGGTGGTCTTTCAGATATGAATACCCTTGGTGACCTGGGCATTTTCATGTGTGTTCTTAAAGTGAACATGAAAGATTTGAGCCTCTTGATTTGCATGATTTTTGTGGGGTTTTCTGGGTCAAGGAATAGCGAGCCATTTTCACAGGTCACCTCAGGCTGCTCACAGGAACAGAAAGAGTGATGGTTTCTGGGAGAGTTCCCATAGCAGCATTTTCTATACCGCTAATTTGGGAATTAATTATGGATCGCCCTCTACTTGTGGTATTTACACAAATGGTTTTAAATTGTGAACCCCTCTGTACTACTACTAACTTGTTGTAAAGATCAAATTTTAAATTTTATTATTTCTTTATAATAGTTTAACAGATTATATGCAGATGACCTGGCAAATACACATGTTGGCTTTACCAAACAAATGGATACATTGAGTGGGGACAGAAACAATATTTGGAACCTTCTTCACATTGCTAAACTCATTACTTTTAAAGTAATCTATAAGTCTAAGGAGCTAGCCAGGAGCCACAGGAATAGGAGAAACATTGGAGGATTCACCTTAGATCTGGCCCTCTCTGAACATGTAGGCCCAGGAAACTCTTCAGTGAAGCAGAGCCTGACTGCATGTTGGGCCTAACAAGGTGTGTGTTCAGCATCAGCTCACTTAGCTTATGAGCACCTTGAGTCACTGCAGTTACAGAGTAAGCTGCCACATGAATCATCATGTCTCCTTACCTTTGTAGTTAAAGTCACCCTGACAATCTATATGTGATCCCTAGCTTAGCATGTTTGTAATCTGATAGAAGCTTCTTCTTGTATACTTTTTTCTTTCTTGTGGCTTTGTAAGTTTTCAAGGTAGGTGTAGGGACTTTGCAGTATAACAACCCTGACCTTTTTTTCTCATTGAAAGGAAAATTTTTCTCAGATTGAAGAGAAATGACATGAGGTCAGATCTAGGCTGATGGCTGTCAGATACTGAATATCCTTTCTACTTAGTTCTGTACAGTAGACCCAGGTTTAAGGCTGCTTATTCTACAACCCAGAACAGCAGTCAGAATTAAATTCTTTTTTGTGTGTGTATGTGGAACTGGAGATTGAGCTCAGGCCCTTGCACTTACCAGGGAAACGCTTATTCCACTGAGCCATCTCCCTGGCCCTAGAATTAATTTCTGATGGTACCAACAAAGGAGTCACTGGTTCAGCCAAGTGGTTTCTAAGTGGCTCATGTTATGTTGTGTTGTGTTGTGTTGTGTTGTGTTATGTTATGTTATTGTGGCTGGCTCAGCCTACCCTGGGTGTGGGGCTGACACAGCCTATGGTACTGGGAATTGAACCATGATCCCTGCGTACTTGCCTAAGCTTGCCTAAGCATGTACTTTACACCGCTGAGCTATCTTGCTGGCCCCTAAGTGGCTCATTTTAAATAATCTCTTGAGTTATAAAATTTTGAAGTGTTTTATTAGTCACAGCCACAAACCATATGTAAAAATAGAATGCTGGGGTCAAACCCAAGGTCTTGTTCTACCACTGAGCCCCATCCCCAGGTTGTATTTGCATTTGTTACCATTAATGGCTTCCATAAGTGATGAGAAGAGAAGCAGAGTTAAGACTTGGTGGCCCATGCTTATAATCCCAGCTCCTCTCTAAGTTCAAGCAGCAGGATTGTAAGATCAAGGCCAGCCTGGGCAGTTTATTGAGACTGTGCCTCAAAATGAAACAGAAAAGGGCTGCAGATACAGCTCAGTGGTAGAGTACTTGCTTAGCATGTAATTGGACCTGGGTTTAGTTGTCAGTACCTCTCAAACACAAAAGAAGCAGAGGATTGTGGTAAAAGAAAATATGATTCTTCATTGCCTAGGGTGTTTCTTATAAGCAAAACTATAAGGAAGTCTAGACTGAATGAACACAGTCTGATGCTATTAGAAAACTATTAGACACTTATTATGCAGTTCTGTGTATAGATCTGTTGCAAAGGATTAGCTTTGTTAGTTTTTTTTTTTCCCCTTTCTAGGATATAATAACTTGATAGTGAGGGGGATGGTATAGTATAATAGTTAAGTACAGGATTTGGAGGCAGATTTTGGTTTAAATCTTAATTCTGCCATTTACAAAGTGTGATCTTGGAAAGTTACTTAATTTTTTCTGGGCCTCAATTTCCTCATGTAAAATGAGGATAATGATATTAAATGAGCTGATACAAATAAAAGATTTAGCATAATCCTCAGTACAATAAATACATGATAAGTTTTTTTGTTGTCTACCTAAAATATAAAATTGTTTTAATACTTGCTAGAAAATGGGATCCTGTGGCCTGTGATGTTTTTTAATATACTTGTCAAGACAAAAAGCAAAAATTGTTATTTCTTTTTTTTTTTATTAATTTTATTGAGAAACAAATAGCATGAGACAGTTTCAGAATAGGTTAGTAGGGCAGTTTCAACAACAATACATTGCATATTGTTGTCTTTGTAGTAGTTATTCATAGTACAAAATGCAGACATGATATCCTGTCCAAACACTATTAGTAAAAATCTTTCTTCTCATTGAATTAAGAGAAAGTAGCTGTATATCTATCCTATTTTTTTCTATAATTTTATTGATAAACAAATAGCAAGGGGGCCC